ATTTGCTTGTTCAATTACATCTGTAGCTAAACTGAAGGGTTTGGGGGTAATTTTAGGTTTTGATGGAGCACTCAGCATACTTTCGGATAATAAAAAGTAGCTAGTAGAAACAATTTAAATGTTCCCGTTAACTGATGAGTTTATACACATCAATGCACACCAAAAAGATTCAAAATAAGAAAATAAGAAAATATAATACTTTACAATCATATTAATATATACATTCATGTTAATGTACTTCAAGACTATCATTTATGGTGGTGAACATAAGGCTTTCTATATATGACGTATCAGTTATAAAAATGACATTTCTGCAGTTTATGAAATGGTCAAGAAAGTATACATAAGAGTTTACGAAAGTCAAATCTGTAAACTTCTGTTAAAAAGTTCAAGAGAATCAATTCTTAGCAGCACTGCTAAATGTTGCTCATTACAAAGAATCTCTTACCGGATCTAAGTTCTTAAAAAGAAGAATGTCCTTGCACGCCTCCTGCAATCTGTTTCTTTGATCATCTGTTTTAGGGTGAATAATCTGAGGGATATAATAGAAAAATCTTTAAAGTGGTTATCATATAGCAGCACTAACTGAAGGACCGAGCTAATTCAGCTAAGCATTTCACGCAGTATTTTGGCCATGCTTCATAACGCTTTCATTTCAAAACCTTCAGGATTTGAAAACACTCAGCAATAACATTGTATCACCATAGCATTAGCAAATGAAGCACTGCTATGTTTAAGCTAACAAGATCTTTACATTTGTAGAATCCAGTTCATTTCTACAAGCCATCCTGGACACCTTTATCTCAACTATTGCTACATAAACATTACTTCACTACTCTCTAATTATATTTGGAGCATGCACGTTTTATCAAAAGCACCACTGTTACATTTAGCCATTCGCCATGACTACTTCCCAAAGAATATCTTGTGAAGCAATATCTGTGTTAAAATTATATCAGAAGTTTCAGAGTAAACAACAGACTTGACACTACCTGAGCGAGCCAGAGATCTACTAAATTACTGATACCTGGTTGATGTGAGCATCAATCAAATTGTTCATTCAACTCGTCGGCTTAAAAAGGTATGCTAGGTTTCAAAGCTGTCGTACTATAGGATAACCTTTTGTCAGTTTTACAAGCCAGAGATTAGATAGAATATAAACATTTAAACTTGTCTTAAAAGTTGTACTTCTACTATTTCATATTAAAAGCTAAGTAAATGCTTTTAAAAGGGTGACATGAGTATAAGAAATAAAAATAGTTCATTTGTTATTGCCTTGTACATCGGAAAAGCTTCATGATTTTATAATTACCTTTTTTCTGTCTTATGAAAAATACTAGAATATTGAGGAAACTACTACAGGACTATGAGGATACCAAATAACTACTTCTAGGAGCAGGTGCTCTCTGGGCAAATATAATCACACAAAAATGTTTCCTCAGCAGACCATGTATCCAGGGTGTGGTAATTTAGAATATTACTCACATCAGGTCCTACACATTAATGACTATTACAGAGAATTTTTCAATGTTCCTTTAACATGAAAACCCAAGAGATTATTACAGTATATTATAATAAGGATGCTTTTGGAAAGGAATGGCAATGCCTGTTACATTTTTCTTCCTAAATTTAATGCCTGAGAAGTGAAAAAATAAGTATTTGACTCAAAGTGTTAATTACCCTAGATTCTGCGTCGTCCTCTTCCTCATCAGGATTGTAAGCTTCTGCACACACTGAAAAAAAAGTATAATCTTAATTCAAAGTCCAATAATGTTTCACAAGATTTACAGAACAGAAAATGCATTGTGTGGCACAGTAACAATACGCAGTAATGTAACACACTCAACAGAGAATCACAGCAGATGCTGCTGATAGGGTCCATAGCAGGTCAGCTCCAAACTGCCGGTGAAACAAAGCTACACCTGTAGCATTTTTGGACATGTTTTCTATGTTTTAAAAGACCACTAACACGCTTAGAAATTTCTCACCTAACCTCTTCTAAGTGATCTTACCTTACTATGAGAGGTTTTTTTCTGATGTCTAAACTAATTCTTTCTTGGTAGAATTGGAGCTATCCATACTGGGTGCAGAGATCAGATAATTTCCTTCATCTGTGTAAGTTCAAGGTGGTTTGGGGTTTTGGGGTTGGGGTTTTTTTTGGTGGTAGTGGTTGGTTCGTATGGGTGGTTTGGGTTTTTTCCGCATACTTGAAAACTTTTCTCTCCTACCTTTTACCGCTTAGGGTAAATAATTCTGGTTCTTCAATTTTTTCCTTACAAGTGATGTTTTTCAGCTCTCTAACTATCCTCATTGCCATTCTCTGAACTCCCTCCAATTAGCCCTATCTTTATTGAAGCATGACGCTCAAAACTGGACCCAGCATTTGAGCTGAGCAGAGTACTGAGTACCACAGATAAATTACTTTATACATTTTGCAGGCTATGTATCTTTTTCATCCATACATACCTTTTTCACAACAGCTTGATTACATTTAGTCATGTAATATTCATGACTTACGTATCGTTTTCAAAACCCACTGCTTAACCAGCTGTCCTGCGTCCTGTATATGTCTATTCTGCCCAAGAGTAGTACCATGCACTTACACCTATTAAACATTAGTTTATTCCCCAAGCCATTTCTCCAATGTGTCAAGATCATTTTCAATTCTAATCCTGTTCTCCGGCATCCTTCCAATCCATTCTCAACTTTGTGACAACTACAAATTTAGTAAGCATATTCTCTAATACATAATCCAGATTATTACTGAAAAAACAGAATAGTGTCTAAAATAAGCTCTTGTGGAATACACACATGGGGATGAAACAGCAGTAGCTGCTTGTGGGTTACCTTACCCAACCAGTATTGCAGCTATATCCCATGCAACTAACATCACTGCTTGATGTTCCCCAGCTTGTTTATAGGGGAGTCTCGCGAGACAGCGTCCAGAAGTTTCTTAAAGTGAAAATGTAGGGCATTGCTCCTTTTCTTTTATCACAAGTTTTAATCTCTTGTTATAGGGTATTAGACAGTTCTAACAAACCCACGCTGATTGCTGTTTGTTGCTTTCCTCCAGGTACTTACAAAATGTTTCCATATTTGTCTGTAATATCTCTAGGAACAAAAATGATCTGTAAATCTGTGAGAGGCCTCTTCCCTCCATAGCTCCCCCACCCTTTAAAGGCTTGGGTTTTCTATTTTTCTGCTTTTTCACACTCTCATTTTTCTTCTTCAGATTCTCAATGTTAATTGCTAACAGGGCTGAGACCGATTTAGCCAATTCTTTCCATTTCCAAGTAGAGCGTGTCTCAGGCACAGCTAACCTGGGAACTCCTAACACAGTGAGCACTCTCTGATTTGCCCTTTCTCTATTCTAGGCGGAGTTTTCCATGCGCTCTTAATACCACTAGTGAAGACTGATGTGCTTCTGTTAAGCAACAGAGCAACACTTTCCTGGAATATGCTCTTACCAGAAATACACTTCCAGAACAATTTCTGTTACTCCTCATGTTCTTTTTTGTACACACTCTGTTCTTGTTCACATTTTTGGCCTTGGCTTCTTTGATTATTTTTTTTTCTCTACATCTTTTGCTATTCTTTTGTGCTTGTTCTGAATAATCCAAGTTATTTTTAATTTTCTACATGGTTCCTTCTTGTGCTTGATATAAATGAGGTGCTTCTATTTTAGACATTTATTTTACTACGCTTTTTGTCCTTCTGTGCTGTCTCTATTTGCACTTTTTCTTTTTGTATTTTTTCTTTGAGGAACAACCAATTCCTTTAAATTCCTTTCTCCAGACTCCTTTTCAAAGAGATTATGCCCGCAGTTCTCCCGTATCCCCTTGAAACCTGTTGTTCTCATTCTTTTACTCAACCTCTTCTTCCTGAAATATAATATCTGTCATCCCAGGGTAATTCTCACTCAAGCTGCTGTTTCTCTCCCTATTCTTGAACAGTTTCTCCCTTAGAGTTGGTATCAAATAGCATAGGTTCCTCTTCAATCACTTTTCCCTATCGTCTCAAAATTTGGTTGTAAGTGCATTGCAAAACATGTTGGGCAGTTGGTATTCTCCTTTATTCATTTCCAACAGAAGACTGATTAATTAAAACCTCCCATCATCACCATCCCCTGTACTCTGCCAATCAAAATCCCCACCTACCTGATTTGTTTGGTGGTCTGTGCAATGCCTGCATAATGATGTGGCCCATGAGCTTTTCTCCTTTTAGGATTACTTACAGAGCATCAGTGTGTCCAACTCCCTCTACATCTGGGTCACAGCACAAGTGGCTGAACCCGATACACAACAGCAACAGCCTTGTCCTCCTCCCTGCCCTCCCACCGCGTCTTTGCCATGCTGGGTCAGTCACACTGCTGCTCATGGATTAAGATTTCAGGTCCTCTTATTATTCCTCTTATTATTATTCCCCATATTTCCTATATGATTATACAAACAAATTCTGAAGTAGCAACCAGGTAGACCCATTAACCTCCTCATTACCACATCCAATTAAGACGATTTCATGGCAAAGCATACCATTGCACATCTTATGCGGAGTCCCAAAGGAAGTCTTGGTCCTCACTGTATCAGGCACCCAGCAAACACTAAAATGTCAACTTTATAAAATCTGGAATCTTCAAAAACTTAAAGAAATTTGATACAAGTCCCTCTGAAACTGACTGAAAGATTCCTACCAATTTTACTGGATTTGGTCCCGCAAATGCCCACAGAAGGAAGTCTGAAATCTGTTGAACAACTATAATATTTACCTCTAACTAAACAAAATGTTCCTACAGACTGTTTTGTGGTACTATAGTTACTTCAGTCTTGTCTGAAATAAACTTGAGGGGATTTTATTTAAATAGCAACAATAACAATGTGCCAAGTAAGCACCATAACCCATCCTAACGTAAATCACTGCTTTGTTTCAACTGGTATCAGCCTCTGTGCCCTAGTGCATGTACGCGTACATGGGAGTCAGCAAATCTGTACAACGGTGCAGTGTGCTGCTGGGTGTATGAATGGTCTGTCTCAACCTCAGGTACAGTTATATCCTGTCCTTACCTCCGGTAGGACCTCTATGTGAAAAAAATTATACAAACCAGGAATTTAATTTAATAGCTTTGATGTTGTTATCCCAGAATTGACAGGTCTTGGAGAGCCTGGCTCAGTATCTAACAGTCTTCCAGACCACAGAAAAGAAACTGAATTTAGCCTCATCCATGCCCACCCTGAATCATCTTATCAGCCCCTTTCACATAGCCTGAAGCAGGATCAGTCCAGAAAGAGAGCATGTTCCTCAGGTCTTCTGAGTCATTCAGCATCTCTGTTCTACTTCACTCTTCTCTGCTAGAAGCCCATTTCAGTCAGTCTCATTAACTATTATCAGCAGGTGCCTTCATTAAATATTTCTTTTCTATCGCTGATTACAGACAACATATTTAAGAACTGCAGTTTCTCCTGGCTACTGCCCATCTGCCCAAATTTTAAAGTTATTTATTCTTATCATCTGTGATGAGAAACTTACTCTTCTGGTTACAATTCTGTACTTACTCTGCCTTGGCTTATTTTTTTGCCATAATTAAGGGTGCATCCTTCATTTGGGTCACAACTTAAAGATTATACCAATGCTGTGGCTCTGTGGTTTTAAATATGGAATTTCCTTTCCTTCATTGCTTGTTTCAGTAGCCTGGCTTACAGACTTTATAGTCTAGTAGCATATTAATTCCTAAATGCATACCACTAGATGTCTCATGGAAAAACTTGATTTTACTGCTGTTCTTGAAATATGGTCTCTGACATTACTACTGTCCACTGAATTTCATGACATGAGCATTGGGGTTTGGCACATGAGAATCCCAATGACATAAACTATCTAAAACTAAATGAGATGCCTCTTACGTAGACATCCACATCTGCAGAAGTTGTCTGGATTCCAATTACAGTCAATGGAGAGAAACTGTCACATTTACAAAGTGATTCATATGACCTGTATTACATGTCCAGAATGAGATTAATTAAAAATGTGACTAATTGGGTGAGATAAAACCTATTCCTCTTGAGATGAGTCCTTTTAGTTATAAGAAGCTGCAAGACTGGTTCCCCCACTTCTCCATTTAGTCCATATTTCTTGGAAAACAAAGAAATTCATCATCATCTGGATGATGACAGGTTGCTCATGCAATAGCACACCTTTATTCATCTCATATATTCCAGGAAGACAGACTGTGGTCCCCATCTCTTTTGTCTAAGGCTTGACTGGCACCACAGACATTAATTATTCTGAACCATTTCACGGCTGGTGGCTGCAATACCCATAGTGTTCAGTGTTTTATTTTTCTATGTCTTCATTCCACACTCCCGCTGGTACACATTACATACTGACTTTAACATGCTCACATGCCCTGCCACATTTTGCTACGTGTCATTGCTGAATGCAATACTCAGATCAGTGCTCAAAAAGCAGTCTTCATACTGTTCTTAGGGACCTACTCCATCCCATGCATAATTATAGCATTAAAAATAGTGATACAAACACCTTACGTATTTCTCCATTGGTTGCTAAGCTCATGTAAATGAAACTCTTTTTACGAAGTTTTTCCAGCTGAGGGTTACATTTCACATATATTTTTCCCCAAGATGGTCAAAAGGCGGTGCATTATTAACACAGACATGCACTGAAAACTGCACACAACTCTAGATGGACTGCGTTGTCAGCAAAAAGAGGCAAGCTTTTATAATTTCCAACTCATCACTTCAAGTAAGGTAAACTTCCTGGTTTTCAGCTAGCAAATATGTTTTATATTCAAAACCAGAAAAACAGTCACTTCAGATATGAATGAATTCTAAAATGAAAATAAACCTACAGTTTGTAATTGTAAGATCACAAGAAGTGCTGGTTGTGCCCTATTCTCTTGATGTGTCAGGAAATAAGAAGCTATCAATAGCAAAATGAATGAAAATTCACATATAATCATGAAATAACGTATTCTACTGAAAACATGGCAGAAAAACCAATAAATATCTGTGTACCCTTTTCCAAAGCACAGAACCTCTTTGTCATAAAGCATATTACAAAGTATTTTACAAGAGAAAAAAAGCTGTGGAAATATTTCTTCATCACATTCAGGGCAAATCAAGACTGCAGTTTTGCCAGCATGACTATCAGGCTGGAGCGCAAAACCAGACCATCTCTAGCCACTGTAGCAACACCAGCATGCCATACACCCCTACAAACATCCCTAACTATGAGAGCTATGCCTATCCCCTCATACAACAAGAATGTCACTTCCCTGGTTTAGCCATACAAATATTG